CCAGGGATATTTGCGCGTAAGTGAATGTAACGATTTCGACTGGAATTCGAACTCGGCTCTCCGAATTCTCATTCCGAGACGATACCCATTACACCACCATCAAATCGCTGGCAATAAACGTTTACAGTGATGACCCTTCCTGGCTCCAATTAGCTTGTATTGGGTAAAACGTTCCCGATTTCAACAGACACAAAGCAAGGACTTTTGCGGATGGTGTCTTTTTTTGTTAACCATTGTCTTTTTCGTTTTCTTTTAACATGCAAAACCCATTTTTCATCACGTGTAACAGTATGATGCAAAAATAAAATGTTGGCTTTCCTGATTAAAAATTACAGGGACGTTATGCTCGGTTTGAAAGCGAAAGCTTATGAGGAACCCAAATTCCTTTGTAAGTTTTTTTTTTCTAATTCGCTTGAGATGTTTGTGGACAATTAAACCAGACAAATCTTACTAAGTGATATAAAGGATAGGAAATTGTGGAGAACTGTGATTGATTACAACCTGAAGTCACGCGGTACATGGAAGAAGAAGAATAAGTTTAAAAGAGAGTGACAGTTTAATGGCATTCGTATTAGAGTATTCGTTGTTGAAATCCTGGCTAAAGTGTTTGAAATGTTCAGAGTACCCAACAGACGGCATTTTGTAGTCAACGAGAGTTAGTTCCCCTTTTATACTGTTTTTAATTTGGCTTCCGCATTGATATCTATCTTCTCGGTTCATCTCTCCGTCTTCCCACCAGATCCATCTCTTTTTAATCACGCTTTCTCTTATCTGTCATTACTTATTTTTATCTCTATTTTTGCCTTTCCTTCCGACCTTGTCTGCATTCTTTTACAGGTTCTCACGCTAACGATTTGCAGAAAATGCTTTTCACCCACTCAGAATTTCTTCTTCTTCTTCTTCTTCTTCTTCTTCTTCTTCTTCTTCTTCTTCTTCTTCTTTCAATTATCTCTTTCTGATGATATTATATATAAATATCCATTTTGTTTCCATTTTCTCTAAAACTTCGTCTTCCTGTCCAAGGTATTCTCATCATCTTTCTGCGAAATCACATTTCTTCAAGTCTCTTCTTCATCTGTGAGATTGTCCAACATTCAATGCCATATAGGGGAATTGATATTACGTAACGGTTCAGTACACTTTTCTTTGTTTCTCTTGCTTCAAGTCTCTTCTTTATCTGTGAGGAGATTGTCCAGCATTCGCTGCCATATAGGAGGACTAATATTACGTAACACTTCAGTACTCTTTTCTTTCTTTCTGTTGCTTCAAGTCTCTTCTTCATCTGTGAGGAGATTGTCCAGCATTCAATGCCATATAGTGGGGTGATATTACATAACTCTTCAATACTCGTTTCTTTCTTTTTCTAACTGAATTTTTCTGTTTTCTTAATACTTTGCTAAGCTTCTTGAAGGCATATTTCTCTATTCAAATCCATTGTCACACTTTCGTTCCTCTGTTTAAATAATTGCCAGATAATTTAAATTGTTGTACTAGCTTGAGTTTGGTATCACCAATTTCTAATTTGCATGTCGGATTGTTACTTTTGCTAACAAATATGCATTCTGCCGTCTTGCAATTGAGGTTTAGTCCTTATTTCTCTTTTTCCTCCACTACCTTTTACAAATGTTATTGTAGTTTTCTTTCTGGGTTTTTTATCAACACTGTGTTATCTTTATATCATATGTTGTTAAGTGGACGTCAATAATTAAATAGGGTAGGTCTTCTAATTCTCTCAGAATACTTACTGTATTTTTGTCTTACTCGCCAGTTGTTTACCATCGCCTGAGGAGACACATTCGTAGTGATGAAAAATAATTGTAATTGTGTAGCGATTTTTAACATGTTTTTGTTTTAATATCCTAAAATAAATAATTATATATATATATATATATATATATATATATATATATATATATATATATATATATATATATAACTAGACTCGTTTTTGAAAAACCCTCGAATTTTTGATTTGCTAATAATCAAATCAATCTCGAGGGAAAAAAGATTTTAAAAAAAAGAAAGAGCTACAAACATGAACTTCTGCCGACAAAAAAATCGCACAGATACAGGTCTGAAGCCCAAAGAAAAAACCCCGATACGAGTAAACAACTAACAAAAGCGCTCAATACAACCGTAGAGCAGACCTAGATACACCTTTTTTCCCTCGAGAATGATTTGATTATTAGCAAATCAAAAATTCGAGGGTTTTTCGAAACGAGTCTAGTTATCTATAATTATATGTATAAAGCACTAGGTTATCCTATCGAGCACTGTTTTAAATCGACTAATATGGAACGTGTAGACATAGGTTATTCACTTAAAAACATACCTACATCTGACCGTCACTCATACGAGTTATGTTTACTAAGAAAAATAGAAAAATATATAATAAATATGAGGTGGCGTGCATATTTTTGTTTAAATAATAAGCCTAATAGCAAAACCAACGAAAGCTATGGATTTAAGAACAAAGAGCGGTGATAGTCTGTTTCATGCTTGAACACAATCTTTATGGCCTGAAGGTTGCGTTCAAGCATAAAACAGACTGTCACCCTGGATGTAGACCTCAGTTACCGCTTTTTATATTTACATATGCTCAATGCCTGATTTTTACCCATAAATACAGTATACCTTAAAACTATAATTTTATTATATTTTATTATTATTATTATTATTATTATTATTATATATGAGTTGGGATCAAATATAGATCAAGTATGGATCGAAGTCCGACAAAAAAGATAAAAAGCAAATAGGAAACTAGAATTTTTATACACTTACATACTTATAGCAATATTTAGGTTTTTCAGGTAGGCTTCGAATCCGTTATTTTTTAAACTACAGTCATCTTTCTTTGAATTGGAAACGCCGCGAATTATACAAATTATACTAACATTCGTTTAAAAGAGTCGAATGCACGTGAAACATGATTGACCAAGGAAAATCAAATGCGAAAATTCCAGAATTTTCTTTTTCTCCATTGATTACAAACTGAGGGGTATTAAACAACATTTACCGGCCTGAATGTCCGAGAAATATTCACAGAAAATATTCGTCCTCCGAAAGGATTCGAACGTGTATCCTATATGGAACCGTCATTTAGCTTGACGTGCCTTTACCGATATGGCCACAAAGGAGCGTTCGGTTTGCAGGGTCGAATTTACTGTATTTAAACTTCAATCTCTCACGTACATTCATAAATTCGTACATTCAGGCCGGTAAATGTTGTTTAATACTGTTTATTATAAACAGAGAATTTACTTAAATATTTGTATCTATAAAAAGAATGTATAAACATAAAAATCTCTTAAAGTAATTGTCGGACTTTGTCCATTTCCTAATATATATATATATATATATATATATATATATATATATATATATATTATTATTATTATCCCCCCCCTCTATATATATATATATATATATATATATATATATATATATATATATATATATATATATATACAGAGAGAGGTGGGATAATAATGGCTGGGCACACATATCCGAGGATGTCCGTCTACACGCTGTCTAGTCAATCCCTGTTGCAGACGCCTGCTCAGGCACATTTGTGATCGTCTGAACAAGACCAGCACACTCAAACCCTCGGTCACGATGATTTGTGACTTCATGCTAGCACAGCCATCGACGGTTCTCCAAAGAATTCTGTCTACCCAATTTCATTAACAAGTTTTGGGTCAACCTGTGGTATGGTTTTTAGGTACTTCCCATTGGGATCACCTCCATTAAACCGATAACATCAAGACAAATTGACCATGGTGAGATTCGAAACCGGGCTCCATGGTCAGAAAACGAACGTTCCAAACACTCGGTCACGTATCCATAGAGAAATTAAGGGAGCTGGGTATGACTAGTAAACGAATCTGGTATGTTATCGTAATTGCAGATAGGGAGAACCCGACCGATGTACACACCAACCTTCATTAGGTGTTTCGTATATATATATATATATATATATATATATATATATATATATATATATATATATAAAAGTGGCCGAGTGGTTAGAACGTTAATTTTCTGAATCATCATGGTCGATTTGACAGGAAGGAGAATTCCTGATATCATCGGTCTGGAGTGGGGACGCTCCCAGCGTGTGGCACCTTTGGAAAGTACCTGAAAACCATACCACGGGATGACCCAAGCGTCGTGACTGAAATTGGATAGACTGAACCCTTGGGGCCATCGATAGCTGTGCTAGCACGAAGTCACAAGTCATCGTGACCGAGGGTTTGAGTGTGCTGGTGTTCTTCAGATTGTTGATCATTCTAGATAACACGCTCTCTCCCAGAAACTGTAACTAAGGTCTGCTCAGCTTGGTTGCAGTATAAACCACAGGTTGGCTCTGTGGGTGCTAAACAAACAGAAATGTGCCTGAATGAGAGTCTGCAATAGGGATTGACTAGCCGCCCTAGTAGACGGGTATCATCGAATACGAGTGACCAGTTATCATATATATATATATATATATATATATATGACGATCCGCTTAGGTGAAACCTTGGTAAGTTTGTCTGACTCTCTAGGTTTGACTAGGTCTGCTCTACTTTTGTATTGAGCATTTTTTTAGTTAGTTGATTACTGGTATCGAGGATTTTTCTTTGGGCTTTGGACCTGTATGTTGTACGATTATTTTCGACAGACGTTCATGTTCCTAGCTCTTTCATTTTTTTAAAACCTTTTTTTTCCTTCGATATTGATTTGACCATTAGCAAATCAAGAAACCGAAGGTTTTCCGAAACGAGTGTAGCTACCTACCTACCTATATATATATATATATATATATATATATATATATATATATATATATATATATTTTTCATATTTCATTCAATTATCTATTCAAATGTTTTCCACGTCTCTTTTCTCGACTCCTTAAAATTAAACATTTCTTGCATCTTTTCCATTTTTTCTATGTCGACGACAAATGACGACATTCCGATTGAATCCTCTTTTTGTTTTTACTGCTGTCAACGTTATTTCACCGAGGCGACGTATACAGAGAATAAAACGCAGTTGGTGCATTTGGGGGGGGGGTGGAAAACTCTAACAGTGGGAATGATAAGGGGAGCAGTAGTGTGTCTCGTGGTGGATAAGCAGATGAGATGGGTGATATAAGAATATTTTGATCTCAGCGACCAACCATGAGTTGCAAAACGTGACTGCTGCAGGAGAGAAGGTAATTGAAAGAAAAGAAAGAAAATGGCAGGAAAAAAAAGGAGAGTCACAGGGGAATGACTGAAACAGATAGGGAGGAAGAAAAACAGAGAACACAAAAGAAAATCGCACACACACATACGTGCGCACATACACAGATAGATACACGCACGCCCACACACACACACACACACACAGATATATATATATATATATATATATATATATATATATATATATATATATATATAATTGTGCATCTGGGCAGCAATCTCGCTTTTATACATGTTTCATTTAAGACGACTGACAGGTTACTGCGATCAAGCTTTTTATTTCATTTTTCTTGCGTTACTATAAGTGTTTTCTTTTCTGGACATAAAATATGTAAAAATGATCCAAATGTTGTATATACACGAGCGCTATCTCCTATCCCATTATCAAGGATGTTTTTATTTTTTTTTATTTTTAACTGAATGTGTAGATTTTTATTTAGGGATGGGTATGTTTTTTTTTATTTTACAAACACGGTCAGCAAGTGATGGCCGTATGCATAGTTGATGTTAGTGAGTGTTGGCTTTTACTTTTTTTATTAGTTCTTTTATTTTTAGTCTTTTTTTGTTACATGTGGATGAGGCTATTATACTTGTATTTTCTACAAGTATGTTGCGGATGAAGTTTGCCAAGATTTCCTTGTGTGTATAAATAAGTCCTAATTGAGCTATGGTCAGAGAGGTGTAACGTGAATCTTAATTTTATATATATATATATATATATATATATATATATATATATAAAACACACAAGCATATATATATATATATATATAAACACACAGGCATATATATATATATATATATATATATATATATATATATATATATATATATATATATATATGTAAAAACAGACAACCTTAGGGTCCATTGATTATATTTTTATTTCCCCAAGAAGTGTTTAGAAATAATACGTAAATTTAAAACCATTTTTTATGTTTGAAATGTAATCTGAGGAACCAGGTAAAACTATCTTTCTGTAATATATATATATATATATATATATATATATATATATATATATATATATATTAATCACTTCTTGGGCAAATAAAAGATAATCAATGGACCCTTAAGGTTGTCTGTTTTCTAATTAAATTAATATTTTCTGTGATTTGACATTGAGCTCTCTGGAATACATCCCTCTTGAGATTATCCATACGGATTACCAAACATTTCATTACCTAACTATATATATATATATATATATATATATATATAACAAATAATGGTTTTGTTTAATCATGCATTATTTATTATTACTATGTACGATATATTTCGTGATTACAAGTGTTTAAGTAGATATTCCTGAATTTTTTTTTTTATTAGTGATATGAGTATCAATTGGTACAGTGATCGAAAAACCTATTAAAAGAAATGTTTCAAATGCTTTCTATCCAGTGTCACATTTGCTTTAATCAAGTTTTCGATCTCTCCACTAATAGCTATTAATTTCACTGTTTTGCGTTTAAACACAACAGCTGTCTACTGAAACAACTGTACTTGCTTACTGATACTAGTTTTTGGGGTTAAATATTAGTCACAATTATGTTGCAGGAATCAACACTTTCGGTACAAAATATTTACGCATCCCCACGAACATTTATCCTGCAAACAATTACCGGTGGACTCAAAATGTGAATCCGGGTAAAAATGAGTAAACACAAAACAATAAATATAAAACGAACGACAATGCAAACAATAAATTACATGCGTAGATAATTGTAACAGAAGGAAAAACATTAAACCAAGTTATAAGAAGAATCTGTTTGTGTGCGTGTGTGTGATAGACACGTATGTGTATATGTGTATATGCATGCATAATAGACACGTGCGTGTATATACGTGTGTGGTAAACACGTATATGTATATAAGTGTGTGAGAGCATTTAAAAGGCCAAAGGAGGACCAAAGAAGCGAACGCGCCCTGTCGGCAACGTTCCTATTGACGCGCGACTATATTTGAAAACCAGAGCTAAAAAGTGCTGTAAAAGAGAAGGAGTGAGAATGTCATTGCCTATTTATAGACGTCAAGAGGGCACCCCTCTATCCCCACTCCGCAGCGTTTTGGCACAGTCAGGTAGAGCAACCCACATACTCATTAAATATAACGTTTATAGTAATAAGAGAACCTTTTCAGGTGAATCAATAAAATCTGTTGAATCTTTTACATACCTAGGATGCGAAATAAATTCTACTGAAAAGGAGGTGAAAATTCGTATAGATAAAGCTTTCATCGTCTTGAATAAAATGGGTGCAATCTGAGAATCTGATCTACCAGACAAATGCAAATGGCGATTCTTTCGCGCCACTGTAGAGGCGGTTTTAATGTATGATGTCACTGCTTGGACATTAACTAAAACCCTACAGTCTAAGCTTGATGGAGCCTACACTCGGATGCTGAGAGCTATACTTAACATATCTTAGAGACAATGTCCAACTAAACCACAGCTCTATGGGCCCATCCCTGATATTTCTAGAATTTTACGCGAACGCACACTGCGTTTTGCAGGACATTGCTGACGAGCAAAAAAAGAACCCGCGATTGATCTACTACCCTGGACGCCTAGTTATGGCGCAAAACGGGCTGGTCGCCCAGCAATCATCTATATTGATCAACTACGTTATGACACAGAATAGCATTAACCTTACGACCCTGACACAAGACCGTGGTATTTAGCATTATAGACTCATGAATGTCCGGGCTAGCTCGACTGAATAATACATAGTAATAGGATATATATATATATATATATATATATATATATATATATATATATATATTTAGAAAGATTGAGAGAAAGAGAGGGAGAGGAGGGAGGGATAGTGGGATAACTGGTAAGATATACGGAGTAAAACATATCATAATAAATAGATTTCACTCGTCTTTCTCACCGCCGAAGCGTAGCTTACCTGTGCCATTTTTATAAATACTTTTAGGTTAATTGTTCTGATTAACTTTCCTCTATGGTAGCTATACTTTATGATTTAAACGTATCACTAGATTGGCGGCTAGGTCTCATCATTTTACAATTGAAGTAGCTCGATGTAACCGTAAGTTCTGTACTAACAATCTCTTTTCTCGCACTTCTCGCGTATGGAACTCTCTTCTGGCTTCTTATTTCCCAGCATGTTTATATATATATATATATATATATATATATATATATATAAAGGGAAGAGGTTATATTAGTTCCAACGAGAGAAAAGTGTGTATATTAAAAAGAAGAGAGAAACCGCAAATATCTTCTTGAATTGGGCTGGGTCACTAACACAGACAAAAGAGAATGTCTCGTATCGAGAATATTTAACATCGAAAACATAAGAAAAAAAAAAAATTAATTATTTATTAATATGTGGAAATCTTCACGCTTTGCCTGATGAAGATCGGAAGACCGGAAACCCGTGTATCACAATTATGGAAAATAAAGCATAATATTTAAAAAAAAGATCCACATTACAACCAAAAATTTTTGCGGTTTCTCTCTTTTTTTATATATATATATATATATATATATATATATATATATATATATATATATATATATATATATAGAGAGAGAGAGAGAGAGAGAGGCAGGCAGACAGCGTGAATTCGATTCTTATTGTCTCTTGTGGCAGTATCTGTTGTTCGGGCAGAGTTAAAAGCTTTTTTTTTGTAAGCTGATATTCTAAGTAACCAAGTCTTTGAATTACATTTGCCTAATTGTAAAATCTACAATACCGATACTCTATTTCCTGCCAATGGATTTCGATCAACGCCTTTGGGAATTGGCAATCGGAGGTATAAGTGGAAAGAAAAACTCATTCTTTCTCTTTTTTACTCCGTGATGTGTAGCGACAAATCGGAACTCATCTCCGTCGCTGGAGATCCCTACCCCGAGGCAACTGACTAAACTACGTACACACGCACGTACATTACCGCTTGTTAAAATAGAAAGAAAAACATATATGGCTTTAGCGGTAGTGTGCATGCGTCACTTACACGCAAATCACCCTGAGAAAGGTATGAATTCGCCTCTTCATCCCCCAGCTATGGGTTAATTATTAGGACTCCTATCGCTAAATCATTGTTATCTGAAAAAAATATTCTTGCAATCTAAAATATTTTCTGACTTTAAATAACTTGCAAAGGGTTGGTTGATAAGCTGTAGAACATGTGTCTGTAGAACTATATCTATATCTATCTATCTATCTATCTATATATATATATATATATATATATATATATATATATATATATATAGATAGATAGATAGATAGATAGATAAAAAAGTAGAAAAAGCGAAAATTATATTTGTCTACTAGGTACTGATCCGGCTCTAAATGACTTTGTGAATTTTGTGAATAGCTCGTATGACCATCGTATTACATTCTGCAGATAAATGATTCTCATATGATAAGTGACACGTGGCGCCTGCAATGGGAGTAAAAATAGTAACGCAAGCGACAGCAGAATTGACAGTGCCTGACTCAGACTAGCCTTAGCGGTTTTAATAGTTGTTATTCTAAGCAATAGAGTTGTTGCCAGAGATTAAGAATCAGATTAAGTAGCTAGAATTTGTTTGGTAGATGGCACAATAGTGTATATCCTCACAGCGCCAGTAGTCGGCGTTTCAAGACAAGCAGACTCTATCGATGTGAAAGACTGACGCAACATGGTCTTTCTACTTCCATTTCCTTCTACTTCGGCATTTTGCCGGGTTAAGTAATGTTAATTTAATACGTAAGTATCAAGAAAACTTTTATAAGAATATTATGACAATCTAAGATATTTGCGAGGAAATTTAAGCAGAGAGACAGAGAGAGAGAGAGAGAGAGAGAGAGAGAGAGAGAGGGGGGCAATTTTGGGACAAGATGGACTCTGGGCTATGCGAAATGGATTTGTACCCAGAATGCAACATCATGACTGAATTCGAAACGGCTTGCATTATATGAAACAGAATTTCTTGAAGAAAAAGTTATTGTCTTAGGTGGGATTTAATAGGAATTCTTTATTATTAGTTGACAACCTGGACAAAATGTTAGTGATAAGAAAACAATGTGAGTGGGGATGAATAAAAGGCGATAGGAAGAAAGAATACTGAGGGAGATCAGGCGATTGACCGAGATAGTGAGGGGGAATACTGAGTGGGAAGTGATGAGAAAAAGCGAGAGGGAAGGAGAATAATTAGTTTGAGGGGATGAATAAAAGAGAGTAAATGAGTGAGACAGGTTGGAAGAATACTGGATGAGAGGGGCCGAATAACAGATACAAAGGAAGAGAATAATAGGTAAGAAGGAAAAAAAAACAAGACAAAAAGAGAGAATACAAAGTGAGAGGGGGGGGAATAGAAGCGATAACGAGGGAAAATGTTGAAATAGAGGCAAAGTGTACAAGTTATGGAAGTTAAATACATAATGATTTGGGATGAGTTAATATGACAAGGGAAAAGAGAAATACTTATATATATATATATATATATATAGAGAGAGAGAGAGAGAGAGAGAGATAGATAGATAGATAGATTTCTTGTGTTCGTACAGAATAGGAAACACTGTACGAACACAAGAAAAATTAAATAAAAAACTTAGTCGCACTATCTTGTCAGTCGTCTTTTATAAAGATAACTTCTTTATAAAAGATTATGGGTTTCTTATTTATTATGCCGACAGATTTTTTTATCACTTATTCTAATATTTTATCACTTATTTTTATTACTAGACCGTTATTTTTGAGAAGACCTTCAGTTTTTATTTATTAAACAGTATATTTGTTTGTTTTTTTAGTAAGATTATATTACTGTCTACAATATTCTCTAGAATATTCAGGCCGGTAGACGAAAATAAATAAATATACTGTATATATATAAGCGGAATAGTGTCTACTAAAATATGAGTATCAACTGAAAATAACCTTTAAAGTTACTCACACACACACACACACACACACACACACACACACACATATATATATATATATAGTTGTGCATTTGGGCAACAATTCCACTTTTATACATGTTTCATTAAAGACGACAAGGTACTGCGATTAAGGTTTTTATTCAATTTTGTTCTTGTGTTCGTATAAGTGTTTTCTTTTCTGGACATAAAGTATGTAAAAATTGTTCAAATGTTCAATATATTCGAGTGCTTTCGGCTATCCCATTAGCCATTACCAAGGATTTTTTTATTTTTATTTTTAACTGAATGTGTAGATTTTTATATATTTTTTAGAATGATGGGCATGTCTTTTATTTTACGCAGCAATGGCTTAATTTTGCAATCGATTATTATTGTTGAATATATGATAAAACCCTTCAGAATGAGAAAGACTCTCTGGCCCGAACTGACCTTGTAAATTAGTTTTGAAAAAGGCATGCAACGTTCAATTTTTAGAAGATTCTTCGAAATACAAATGGTGCTCTTTTTGTCATAGACGGTGCCCAACTGACCCTATTATAGTGTGAAGTCGACAAAATCAAAAACAAACAACACGCATGCGCGAAATAAAAAATAGATAATAAATAATAAAAAAGTTTGGAATGTATATTTGTTGAGTGTGGGTTGCTTTGTTTTAATGTAGATAGCCTCCAATATTTGAAAGTTCTTTTTTACTTTTTATTTACATTAAAACAAAGCAACCCACTCTCAACAAAATTACATTTCAGACTAGTCACAACACATTACATTGCATTTAGACATATGGTTCTGTTGTGAACATTTAGGTCTCTCGCGTGGTATGATGTCATAGAATCTTGAACTTAAGACCTGCGTCTGCTATTCCGCGACCGTTATCGTCGCATAGCATTCTTCTATGTTAACATAACAAAATATTATCTCCGATGGTGACTATTTTTGTTAAAATGTCCGTATAACTACTCTGAAGATGGCTCATATGAGCCGAAAGCTTATATATATATATATATATATATATATATATATATATATATATATATATATTTGTGTGTGTGTGTGAGAGAGAGAGAGAGAGAGAGAGTGAGCGATAGAAAGAGAAAAAGATAGAATGACTGAGAGAGTGTGAAATAGAGAAAGAGCGAGAAGGGCCTTCGTTGTTGAATAAAAAATGTTTCATTTGAATGATATATGAAACAGTAAATCCATTTTCTGAGGAAAGCAGATCGACCAGTTACTTTTATTTTTTGCATGACAACGCCCATCCTGATATTGCTAATGTGACAAAACGTCTTCTACCCTTGACATATTCTCCAGACCTCTGACCTTTAATGTAACACTTTTTTCTTTACAAGCACCACCCCCTTTTCTGTCATTCTTTTAGACGTGGTCAATATATCGAAACATTTCTTCAAGTTTTAAACTAATTATAATTTGAACCGTCCTTTTCTAATGAAATACGCATATTTTTCTCTCTGAAAGTTTATATTTAGTAACAGATATTCAGGGAAATACTATCGATGACTTAAAACAAATTCTATAAATTTATTTAAATCATTTTTCAAAACAATGCTACAAACTTTCACACTAACTTACTATATCTTAGTGATTCTACAAAGTTTACTAAAGTCACGACTGTTTTTCTTACAAAATAGAAAATAAGACGCATAGAAGTTCTAGAAAATATTTATCAGAAAAGTAGATGCTAAATCATCTGAAATCCAGTTTACGTAAATTCATAAAAATTAAATGCGAGTATCATAGATTTTACAAGAAAATTTAAAGTAGATAATTCTTTCGACATGAAATGAAAATTATTGGAATTTTTTTCAAATGTTAGATTTATAAATTTAAAAGTATAGAGATTTTACTAGCATTTAAGAAACATGGATGTTGCAGAATATACCGCCGTTGTTTGAATGTTAGTATTACTAAAACTTATTATTTCTGTTAATCATTTCACCCAAAGCAAGGCAATAAAGTCACTACGATACAAAAGGTTACTGAGTGTGAGAGAACGTGAGAAAAAGGAAACATTATCCAGGAGAGAGAACAATAAAATAACTGGAATTAAAAATATAGAAGATAAAGATTGAGGTTGAATTGAAATATTTCATGATCAAAGATGACTGGAAAGCAAAGAGATGGAAGAGAGTTTCAAAAAACGAGAAGAAACTGTTAGCATAGAACTTACGGTTGCATAACTAAGCATATATATCAATATGGTCCGGCTTACCGGGTCTATATGTAACACATTCTCATCCATTACTTGAAGATTGTGTTCCTGTTCAGGCATTGGATGCTGTTTTGCAAGTCAAACATTTTGCTCTACTTTTAAAAACACTGGTCTTCCGGAGTAAATAGTTTTATGACGTCTAGTGGTTAAAAATGATGACCTTACATGACATTGGAAGTCAGTTAAATATTGAAGGCTTCTCGAACATGACCTTTCAGCCTCAGTAAAGATTTAAGAGAAGTGTTCCAAACGTCTTGAGCCTGGATTTAATCGCCTTTACAGGGATTCGAAATTATTGATTTGTTTGATCGCTTTATTGATTGACCAAATATATTTTCACCATTTCGCAGTATTTGACAAAGATTAAATATAAAAACAAAATGCGTAGAAAGGTGTACAGCACGACTGATTTGTAGATTATTATTTTTCTGTCTTCTGTAAGTTTTTCCCTGATACGCCTAAGCAGTACTTCACACACACACACACACACACACACACACACACACACACACACACACACACACACACACACACACACACACACACACACACACACATATATATATAAGCCTTTCAAGTTCTCTAATTATCTTCTTGATGTTAAGTTATTTCATATATACTTCATATATATATATATATATATATATATAAAGAAAGAAAGAACAGTAAGATATATAATCCGTTGTTCTTATTAATATTTTTATTTTTTACAAAATAGTGCCCAGTGTAAATTTACAGAGCATTAATATTATAAATTAACTGATTTAAAATATGTTTTTTTTCGCTACACAGTAATAACCATGTTTCAAAAATGGAAGCTAAATGCTTCGAATTTAATTTTGTAATTAAATTAAAAACATTACTTCCATTTCATCTTCAAGCGAATTTTGGCTCCAAAATAGGAACTAATGTTTTTAATAATGGTTTATGGTTTAGCCCGGCTGGATAGTGTGTTTTTAAACGTTGTATCTACTTATTTCCATGCAACTCTAAAATCTTTCTAATGTTATTTGCTCTGAACTTTTTTATTCTCTCAATTATAGTGAATTTGGCATGGGTTTTGAAATCATGTTTTTCCAGGCGGAAATGTTCTACAGGTAATAATTTTTCATGGGGAGTCGACTTAATTCGATTGCAATAATTATTAATTCTGTAGTGAAAGGGCCATTCAGATTTTCCTACATATTGTTTCTGGCATAGTGTGCATTCTAGGAGGTAAATTATGTTATGACTTCTATAGTTAGAATCGTGGTAGATTTTGAAAGTAGATTTAGTGATTGAGCTAGTGAATGAATTCGTGTTTTTAATATGGTTGCAGCATAAACTTCTTTTGTTGTTACATGGTTGGGAAAATCCTTTTGTTTTTGTTGTTAGTTTATTACGGATTACCTTGTCACCTAAAATGTGGTTACTACCTATGATTTAATTTAGGTTCTTAGGTCTACGATATGCTAGAAGGCCGGGTTCCTTAAACAATTTTTTTAGGTCTGGTTTGAGATATATATATATATATATAGCAAGAGATGCACCACAGGTAAAGATTTTTAGAAACTTGTGAGCAACATCACAGATTAGCATCCGTACTTATAGAGTATCACCCTCGTTCCCTTCGTATTCCATTGTTGAGAGTTAAGTTTCACACAACCTCTGCCCCAAAACCACCACCTCAACCACGAGTGACTCTTGGACCCTTTACAGGGTGAACATTATTGTAATAAGAGAAGGAAATCCTTATTGTATAAAAATATTGAAAATTCATGATACTTAACGAAAATCGACACGTGTTTCGCGATATCCGCTCTTAAGGGCCTAGTTCTGAAGCAAGAAATTTTGCTAAGTATTGAAAAATAGGAAGTAAATAAATAGCCTGGTGTATTAAACCATAGTTTCGTAAATAGTCGTTGTGAGTTCAATCCCTGGGCCCCGTGGTACAGATTTAATCAATGGAAAAAGGGTGGGTTTTACAGTAGTTACGGGTTAAGGAAACAAAGATCAGCATTTTGTTATTACTTGCATTCACACAAGAAACATGGATGTTTCAGAATATGCCGCCGTTGTTTGAATGTTAGTATTACTAAAAATTATTATTATTTCTGTTAATCATTTCACCCAAAGCAAGGCAATAAATAAAATAAACAAAATGCGTAGTATGGGGTGACACCTCTCAAATCCGGTACTCTTGCTGAGGAGTATAGACCCACAGCTCTCAAGTTCAGTAAACTCCCTGAGGAGTATGGAGCCACAGCTTTCAAGTCCCGTAGACTCCCTGGG